CTAGTGGTGAAATAAGAAAAAGAATTGGGCTAAACCGAGTTGAGAGGAGATTGAGAGGAAAGGAAGAAGAGAACTTGGGCTGGTGGTAGGGATGGCAATCAAACCCATACCCACGGGTATCCGACCGCCCCCGACCCAGTCAACGCGGGGAATCCCCGCTTTGACTGGGTATGGGGCGGGTATGGGTAAAACCCGCAAAATGTTGATGGGTATGGGGTGGGTATGGTTTTAGCCTCTCCCGCCCCATACCCATACTCATACCCGCCCCACCAAGAATATTTGTTCACATATAAAAAATACATGGATGAAATAGTAATCTATCAATGATAGTGAGGGTAAATAAAAATAATAATTAGTAGAAATGCAATTGAGCGGTCACCCAAATCAAAACCTAATTCATTTTCCTCAACTCTCTTCATTCTTTCACTTTTCCCTCGTGTTAGCAAGATTATATTAGTTCATTATTGCTTAGTATATATATTAGAGTCGGATAAATAATGATTTGGATTACATTGTAGTACTCTATTTTATGGATTAAGGGAAATTTTAGGATAAAATGCTTTGAACCATATTAAGAATTATTGTCACTTGCTCGACTTCATGATATAATAGGTGCCTTTAATGTTATAATTGAAAATTTACATGTAAAATTTTAAGTATTATAATGTTGGATGTATGAGGCGGGTATTACCCATGGGTACCCGAAATCCACGGGTATGGGGATGGGTTTGCAAAATCTTCTCCCGCATGGGTATGGGGCGGGTATGGGTTTGCATATTTGAAAGCGGGGATGGGGATGGTTTAGGCAAACCCGCCCCAAACCCGCCCCATTGCCATCCCTAGCTGGTGGTGTATGCCCCGGGAAATAAAGAGAGGAAGCGGGCTTTAGACCTAGGAGGAAGTGAAGGGCATGAAAGAAGAAGGCGGGCCAAGGGGTCTAGGCCAGAGCCTAGACGAAGGAAGGAGGAAGATTTGCTTCCTCTGGGTAGTTCGATGACGGGGGAAGCTGAAACAGAAACGACGGTTGGAATCTCGCCGGGAAAACTTGTGAAACGGAAACACTATCTATGGGGGTTACTTTAGAATATAATGGCAATTAATCGGGGACCGTTAATCAATTGGAATTGATTTTCCTGATAGACGTCGTGTCGGTGGGACGAAGAAAAGTGGAAGATAACTCCCTTGATCATCATCTCTCCGTGACAGGGGAGGTGTTTGCTTAGAGATGCAAGCAGGTGACGAGGGCACACCGAAAGAAGGTAGGAGACAAGCGGAGGGAGTGACTCGTGCACTAGGATTTCCTCCCACGGACGGCAGGTGCTTGTGGTTGCGACGACGTTGGCATCAACTCTGTCACTGGCAACGCGCTTGCCCTCCAAAATGACCTATTCCAAAGTCGTCAAGGCCACGTGCTTACCCTCCCAAACGACAAGGAGTTTGGGCAACCCGAAGTTAGCCTCCGAATTGCGGCAGGAGAAGAGACGACGGAGTTTGCGGTGGTGGCGGAGGAGCCTAGGTTCTGATGGTCGAGGAGGAGGAGCCGGAGTTTGCGGGACATCGACGATGGCATTGAAGAGGTAAGACCCCTTCCCCTTTTTGTTGGAGTGCAAGGGCATCAAAATGGAAATTTGATGAATAGTTGAGGATGTTATGATCGTTTTGGATATTTGGGACTAGGTTTTTAAAATCAGAAAATGAGAATTGTTCTATTGGGCACAATTTTATAATTATGGAAGTTTGGGGCGGATTTGGTAAAACTAAAGAATTACGTGTATTCTGTAGTTTGTCATTTTGGGACAAAAAGATAATGTTCTGAAAATTTGTGGGAAAGCCTAGGAAAGGTTAAATGGAGGAATTTGGGATTGAAATTAATCAAATTGTTGGAGGTAGAGCACGAGGAGTTTGAGCGTGGAATCTCGGACAATGACGTGGACCCACCGGCAATAAAGAAGGGTCATTTTTTCGAGGTGAGTGTAAAGGGGGTAAAATTCCGACCAGGTTCTTTGGATTATGTCTTTTATTTCAATTTATGTTCGTAGAATTTGCACATTTGCTTATTTGAGGCAACTCACCGCCTACTGAAGGTGTGATAACACTATATTCAAACATATTTTCCCATCATTTCTTGATTGTTTGAGGCTGGTTTATCACTCTCGTGGTCTGTTTTACGCTTGTGAGTGTTGGTTTTTTATGTTTCTGGCTTTAGGGCGTGAACGGGAGCGAAGGAGCAAGTTTCGGGACATTCTGGAGCAACTGGGCAGCAAGCACCTGGGAGTTACAGTCAGGCCTTGCAATTTACGGTCTGGCCCGTAACTCCCCTGAATGAACCGTAACTAGCAAGTGGTGAACAAAAAGATCTAGAAGGCTTTTTGGAGTTACGGGCTGACCTTTTAAGTTACGGTCTTGGCTGTAACTCAGCTTTTGCAACCATAACTCCGTGGAAGCGACGAAATCAGTTCCAGAAGTAATTTTGGAGTGAGAGTGACGAAGAAGCCGTAACTCTTGGGTTCTGGACTGCGTCAACGACGCCATTTTCTGGAGAGTTACGGGTGAGCAAGATAAGTTACGGTCGTAACTTAGGCCGTAACTCGCGGATTCTCAGGTTATAAAAGATTTGCTCCCGAGAAAGGGTAAAGGATCCAATTTTCTGAGTTCTTAAGGCAGAAAAAGAACCCTAGAGTGAGAGTGACGAAGAGAAATCCTTGGGGGTAAGGATTGGAGCTATCTGAAGTCTTCGGAGCTCGATTCCTCAACCTCAGAGTATCTATTAACTGCCAGGAGTAGTTCCCATTGTCGGCCTGACGATGTCTTCTCCGAGCATGACGTTCTAACATCTCTCCATGGAGTAATTTTCCATTTCATCTGGGTATGAAGAACCCTAGATATGTATGTTAGGAATGGTTGTATGAACCCCATTTGCGAATGATTGATTTGATAAATTCAATTGAGGAATTATTCAGAATTGCATGAGTCCTGATCAAACCTGTGTAATTTTGGCTTTAACCTACGACGATAGTCTCTGCATAGGTTAATAGAGCACCCTTTAATTGTAAGAGGTGAATTGAATGCTTTAGTCGAGAAGTTGATTCACTACTCCGTACTGGAACAAAAGCCAGTAGTGGAAGTTTCGCGTGGTTAACCTCGGTTAGTGTATGCCGGTGCAAGTTAGTCGCCCACCGGTATTCGAACCGGGAGGTTCTAGATAACTTTAGTCGAAAGTCCAAAATAGTAAAGAACTTTCCGCGGTTTGTATGTCAATCTGAGTAAGTTGGGAATATATAACCTGAACTAGCTGCATACTAGGGGGAACCATAACTGGATGACCTTTAACACTTGAGAAAACCAAAAACATTACTTGCTTTTCATTTCTTTTTGCTTTGAAATCACTTCACTCACTTAGTCTCGCTAGATAATAGATTCTCACAGAGTAAGAAATAGATCTAGACCCCGGGTTGATAATTAAACTTACCACTATTATTCATTTCCATTTTGCGATTACACTTGGTCGCAGTTTGATGTTGTGTTTTCGCGTGTCAAGGTGGAGGCATGCGTTGTGCTTATGTGTGTGAATGAATGTGAGTGTTGATGTATGGATGATGGTATTAAAGTAAGGAAACCCCCAGGCAGTTGGAACACTATTGGGCGCGGTAAATAATCGGATCACTGCTGGACGGCGATACGTAACACAACAGTTGATCGAGGATTGACAACAAGGAAATTTATAGTAAGAGGAAAATACGTCGACTTTAGAAATCGTGATGGTTCAAGTCCCTCTATCCCCAAATCCAAAAAAGGCTTGTTCGGCTCTCGAATTATTTATATCCTATTCTCTCTTTTCGTTAACGGTTTAAAATTCCTTATCTTTCTCATTCTTTGAATTCTTTTACAAAAGTATTTGGGGTGAATTTTCTTTCTTTTCACAAGTTAAGTCTTGTAATAGATATGATATACATAGAAATGAATAGCTTTTATTTGAGCAAAAGTCAGAACCCCCGGAAATTGTAATGATTAACAATCAAAATCATTATTCGGACTTAAACTTAAAAAGTCATTCTTTTTAAGGATATAAAACGTTTCTAACATTGAAAAAAACTTTGAAATGTTTTATTGACCTTTTTTTTTAATTGACATAGACCCAATCCATTTAGTAAAGTGAGGAAGTCGGCGGGTGGGAAATGCCCGTGATAGCTCAGCTGGTAAAGCAGAGGACTGAAAATCCTCGTGTGTCCAGTTCAAATCTGGTTCCTGGCACATGGTATGATAAATTTATGTATGACTATCTACTCGAAACTTAAATAAATTACTATATTGTATGATATGCATATTCAATAACATACATATTCATTATAGTATAAATTCTCATACTCACTAGGTGTCTGAAAATATAGCTTTTTTTAATTAAATGAATAACGAATTTATGTTATAAATTATATATAAAATATTCAATTCTGGTTCCTCTTCTTTTTTAATAGTTCATAATGTGCCTCCGCTCGGTCAAAACGAAGGTTAATACTTCATTTTGGAAGGTTCAATTAGTTGGCTCAAAGACATAAAGGTCTAGTTTATGGGAATTGACGGATGAGAATATCCAAGATTCATTTTGGATACAGCACAAATAGAATCCGATCCTCTTTCCCTTCGTTCTATTTTCTTTCATATTCTATTTCTGGATTCCTTCCTATGCGATGTAACTTTATATAGCTCCTTTAAAGGATATGCGCAGTACAAAGTTCATGAGGCAAAACTCCTTTAGTTTCATCCTATTAACTAGACTCGTCCGAACTAAATAGCGTTATATCTTTCAAATTAGATAATCCATCCAAGAACTCCCTAATTTTTTGTTGTTTTTTTAGTCCTTTCTTTCGATATTCCATAATAAATTCAATAATAGGAATGAAATTTCAACCACTCTGTTGATCTAGAATAGATAAGAGAACGTACAAATATTCCTTGAATATTAGTAGTTCTAGTACTAAAAATTAGTTTCTTATTATTGAATTTCAATGAGCATCTTGTATTTCATAAAAATTGGGGGCAATATAATCCTTACGTAAAGGCCACCCTATCCAGCTTTCCGGCATTAAGATACGTTTCAGACGTGGATGCTTATCATAAGAGATTCCCAACATATCATAAGATTCCCTTTCTTGAAAATCCGCGCTTTTCCAAACCCAGAAAACAGATGGAATTCTGGGCTTCTTCCTTGGGGCAAATACTTTTATACATACTTCTTCTGGTTGATCTATACCATACTCTATTCTCGTAAGATGATATACACTAGCTAACAGCCCGCCCGGTGCTACATCATAGGCACATTGGGAACGCAGATAATTGTAACCATATACATATAAAATGACAGCAGTGGAATGCCAATCTCGAGCTTTATTTGTAAAGACTCTATTCCTTGGTAATCAAAGCTCAAAGTTCTATCAACTAGTCCATGTTTGACCAACCAAACAGACAAAGGACCCTGCATCTTTTTTCTCTCTCCTGCACTTTTTTGTATAAGTATTTCTCATTTATGATACGATCAAATTTCTGAAGATTGACTTGATTTAGTACAAAAGAATCCTTCCTCGAATTTACTAAACTAATTCACGGGACGATATGGACCTTTTTTATTTGAAAAATTTTCCGCGGGTGGGGGGGGGGGGGGGGAGGGGTCCTGAGATAGACGATAGTTGATAGAGTAATTCTTGATAATAATTTCGAGTATGAGTAGTGCGGCCAATATGAAATTTGTGATTGGTAGTAAAACATCGATTCCCCTATTGAGGCTTAATTTGATCTTCATAAATTTTGTGAGATAGTTTTTTACGAAGTTTTGTTATAGCATCTATAACGGCCTCGGTTTTAGGGGGGTAGCCCGACAAATAGACATCTACAGGAATCAGTTTATCGACTCCTCGAACAGTACTACGAGAATCTGTGCTGAACATTCCCCCAGTAATTGTACATGCTCCCATAGCAATACCATATTTTGGTTCAGGCATTTGTTCATATAATCTCACTAACGAAGGATCCATTTTCATGGTTACTGTGCCAGCTGTTAAAATCAGGTCTGCCTATCTAAGAATAGATCTTGGTACTAGTCCGTAACCATCAAAGTCGAATCGTGAGCCTATTAATGAAACAAATTCAATGAAGCAACAACTGGTACCATAGAGAAGTGGCCATTAACTTGAAAGTCTTGTCCAATTTGAAAGATCGTTTGATGTAGTTGAAATAAGTGAAATTTGAGTTGTTCGATCAAGTAAGGGAAATTTAGTGGAATTCATAACAGTCTCGATGTTATTTTTTCCATTATTTTTATTGGAATATTCCAGAGCTAAGACCACTATAATGCTCCTTTTCGCCATGCATAAACTGAACCAACAATTAGAATAAGCAAAAAAATTAAAGCTTCTATAAAAACGGATACCCCCAATACATCAAAACTCATTGCCCCATGGATAAAGAAAAACGGTTTCGACATAAAAAACAACTAAAACAAAAGTAAACATATAATAACGGATTCAAAATTTTACCCAAGCATCGCCCATCGGCTCTATACCCGATTCATAACTAGAAAGCTTCTCTGGACCTTTGCTAATTGGGGATAAAACTTGAGAAATTAGAAATGCCAAAATAGGAATAATACTTGATATTATTAGAAATGCCAGGAAAAAAATCATATTCGTAAATCAGAAACATGGGTGCACTTCTGTGAATATGTAAAACATGTTTGTTAGATCAGTCGAGTCAAATTAGAATTAATTGTCAACTCATCTATACTATTTAGGCAAAACCAAAATGAATAATCGATTTTTGTTGAACCCGACTAGTTTTGGTTTTTTTGCTAGTAGACATGTTTCATTTCAAGATTCATCAACTACTATTTTTCTATTTAATTCTTTTTGATTTACGTACTGAAATTTTAAAATCTGAGTTCGATATATATATTGTTCTTCTATAAATAAGAAAAGAGATCCCTTTGTTGGGAGAACTGGCTAACTAGCTAAAATAATGAACAAATGGAAACGACCCCGTTTTAAGCAAAACGCATACAACAACAACAACGGCGCCGTATCAACAGAAGCATCCCAACAATGCCGTAGCAAATCGTCCTTCAAAGTCCTAGGGCAGCCTTTTCGAGCAGAGTTCTTCATTCTCACCTTCTCTCAAACCATGAAGACAAAACTCTCGAAGCCTGCTCCTCTCAGCTTGATCAAGGAAAGTCACCGACGCTACAAGATGATAATGATGATCACTACCATGATCATCATACTTAGCAAACGGTCATCTCTCAGAAACGGTCATCTTCTTATCTATATAAATTATGTACTTTAACCTAGATTGAAACTTGGCAATCGATAGAGAGAGAGTAGAGCGATTTCCGTTCTATCATGGGTCCTTGTGTATTTTGCTTCAGTTCCTTAATTCACAGTGTGTATGAATGGGTGAATTAAGGATTGGGAAGCTTGTTGTTTAAGTTAGACTAAATCAAAGAGCCAATCTGTTTGGTTTGGCTAGGGTTTCCTGTTTGTAATCTTCCTTTTACAATATATATAAATAAATTTTCCCTTTTCTTCAAACTACAATCCAGAAAGTTTACTTCCCTGTCTGATTCACAATTGGTATCGGAGCAGGCTCTTTGAAGGACTAACAGTCACCAAAGAGGAGCTCTAGAAATGACAGGGTCTACGTCTACTTCAGCCTCATACTCTGCAAGCACAAATCCACCATGGTTCGATGGAACAGACTACACTGTTTGGAAGAAGAGGATGAGAATCTACCTTCGAGGCCTTGATGGGGATCTTTGGGCAATTGTTTGCAAAGGACCCATCCCAATGGATGCTGATGAAGAAGAAAAATGGGGTGATGAGCAAAAGCAATCATCAGAACTGTATTCAAGGGCAATGCATATCCTTTTCTCTGCACTGTGTCCAGAAGAAAGAAGCCAAGTTGCTCAATGTGAGACAGCTAAGGGAATCTGGGAGTCTCTTTAGACTACCCATGACGGTACGTCAGAAGTAAAAGAAAGTAGAATATATGTGCTCTTAAATGAATATGAAACTTTTGAAATGAGTTCAGGAGAGTCAATTTCTAGTATGTACAAGAGGTTTAATGACTTGATCAATAGGCTAAAAGGACTAGGCAATATATTTGCTACTAAAGATCTAGTGAGAAAAATCCTTCGAAGTTTACCTTGTGAATGGCTGCCTAAAAGAACAGCCATAGAAGAAGCCAAGGATTTGAATGTTCTGTCTATTGAAAGGTTGGTTGGATCACTATTGAGTCATGAAGAAGTAATTGTTCAGATGAATAAAGAGGATAACAGACGAAAAAAGGTCATTTCTTTCAAAGCAAAAGAATATGACAGTGAATCTGAATGTGAATTGGGTGAAGAATTTGAAAGAGAATTTGCTCTTGTTAAAAATGAAAAGAGATTTTCAAGATAGAAGAACATTTAATGATGCAAAACAGTTTAACCGGAGAAATCGAGAGGAATTTGAGAGATTTCCTACTCGACAACCTGATAGAGCTACATCAAACAGGTTTAACTCTGAGAAGGGTCCACTTAGAATGCTTGAAAAAATGTCTGAAGGACGAGAAAGGTTTTAACATGAAACTAAGGAAGACCAGAGGTCTTCCTCTGAACAGGAATTTACAATTTGTTATAATTGTTGAAAAGCAGGACACATGAGATCCAGATGTCCTCTGAGTATGAGAGCTCAAGAAAAAGCTCTAGCTGCATCTTGGAGTGACTACAGCTCAGAAGAAGATCCAGAGGTTAAGAATCTTGCCTATATGGCATTTGCTTCAAAAGGAGAAAATGATACTCTATCCCTGGAAGGAAATGAACAATCTTCACCATCATGCTACCAGGTAATTTCAGATTCAGACTCTGAAACTAATGATGTTCTTGAAACAAAATCAAATTTCTTGCATGCTTTAAAGAATCTACAAGAAGAATGCAGTACACTCAAAAGTAGATATTGTTTTCTTATGACAGACAATCATGCTATGTTTAAAGAGATAAGTGAACTAAAAAGAATTGTTGCTATGCAAAATAAATGCCAAGATAAGCTTCACAAGCAAATCTTTGATCTGACTGGTGAAAATCAATAGTTAAAAGGATTATATCATAGTAAACAAACAAGGATAAAGATTGTCTCTAACCAATCGACTAGATGCTTTCATATAAAAAATACCCAAAAGAAGAGTTTTACAAAAATAAAACATTTAAAACAAGAATCTGATGATAAGTTTAAAAAAAATCCAGCTGTATATATCTGCTCCTATTGTAATAGACGAGGTCATTTAAGAAAATTATGCTATGATCTGCAAAATTTAAAGGAACCATCTAAAAAGACATGTTGGGTTCCAAAATGTTCTAACTATTGATTGAATACAGAATCCGGGAGATAGTGAGAATACTTGGTATCTTGACAGTGGCTGCTCCCACCACATGACAGGTAAAAGAGAGCTTTTCTCTTCTCTAAATTATAAGAAAGGTGGCAAGGTAGTATTTGGTGAGGATAGAGTTGGGATTATCCTAGGAAATAGTACAATTGATAAAATGTCCTTTTCTAGTTATCAAAGATGTGCTGTTTGTTCAAGGTTTCAAACATAATCTGCTTTCCATAAGTCAGCTTTGTAATTCTGAGAACAGAGTTATATTTGAAGCATCATCATGCAAAATTTTCAGAATAAGTGAATACGAAGTGATAATTTTAAAACATTAAAATCAGGTGTCAAGTCAATACGAAGTGATAATGGAGGAGAGTTTATATCTGATCAGTTTAGTGCCTTATGTAATAACAAAGGGATAAATCACACTTTTTCTGCTCTTAGAACACCACAACAAAATGGAGTGGTTGAAAGAAAAAACAGAACCATAATTGCGACTGCTAGAACTATGCTTCTAGAATATGGCACACCAAAGTTTTTTATTGGGAGAAGCTGTCATGATAGCTTTCTACACCATAAATCGTGTTCTAATCAGGAAAAACATGAACAAAACACCATATGAAATCCTTAAGGAGTAAACTCCTAATCTTGGATATTTTCACCCTTTTGGGTTCAAATGTTATGTGTTAAATACCAAAGATCATCTATACAACTTTGATGCTAAGGCTGAACAAGCTATCTTTCTTGGATATTCATTAAAAGGTCAAGCATACAGGGTATACAATCTAAAAAATAAAAGGGTTGAGGAGTCTGTATTTGTTAAATTTGATGAAACTGCTTGTGATGACAAAGTTAGTGCAGAAAGTCTGGAATTCTTGTTCCTATTGAAGATCATAAAAAAGAAAAGGAAGGTGGAATACCAGTTGAACCAAAGGAAGATTGTGATACCTCACATGAAGAGAAGAATGCTCCTCCACACATACTTAAGAGACATCCTCCATCACAAATCATTGGGAATCTGAGTGATGGATTACACACACGAGGCAAGTATCAACCATGTCAGTACGCATTTGTTTCATTACTTGAACCCAAGAACTATAAAGAAGCCTTGACTGGTGATGAATGGGTATGTGCTATGCAAGAAGAACTAGTACAATTTGCTCGATTACATGTCTGGGAACTTGTACCTAGGCCAATAGATAGATTAATCATAGGAACCAAATGGGTATTCAGAAACAAAATAGATGAGCGTGGACTTATACCTAAAAATAAAGCAAGACTTGTTGCTCAAGGTTATTGATAGACCATCATTTACACATGTTTTCACCCCTGTTCTTACTCCGTTTGAGGTATTGATTCTCGTGTTTTAGGCCGATTTCACGCTAGGTTGTGCTTGTTTATGATATTTCAGGTCCTAGTACGTGAATGGAGGCTTGAGAGCGAGTTTGACGTCGATTGGACAAGGATCGGACGCATGGCGAGGTTCTGAGGAAGTCGCGTGGGCACGCACGGGATTGTGCGTGGGCACGCACGGGATTGTGCGTGGGCACGCACGGCCATGCAAGTGACCAGTTTGGCCGTGCGGGATTGTGCGTGGGCA